TAGATCTAGTAATAGCAATCCGCTTCATACAGTTACAATAATTTCTTATTTCATGATGTTTAATATCCTTGTTACTCTCATCAATCGTCAATAAGATTAGTACGGTAATACTTACTCTAGCAATCTCTTTTAAAAATTACCGAAGTTGACCTAGATATTAAAAACAGAAATACTTGGCCCAAGCATCCTTTCTGTGAACCTTGTCTAACGTAACCTATTTCCGCGTAATTTCTTCCTTCGACCAGTGGCACAACCGTCTCCCCTCCGACTCCCCTCAGGTACGACAGCCCCTGCCCTATAACAAACCATACCACCTGTACATTGCCAGCTTTGTCGCCCCCTCCCACCCCCTCCCTCTCCCCTCCCCCGCTAGAAATTCCATGGACGAGGAGCAGCGTCGGAGAAAATCCTCTTTGTTGACTCAGTCACGGGTATGTTCACCTTGTCTTCCGTTTTCGACTCCCTTTGGGCGCCGCTAATTATAATCTGTATTTGTGGAAGTTCAGACAATAGCTCATATGTAACTTTCTGCTGGTAATTATAGTGTGGGCGAACCTCTACTAAATTTACCGCAAGGGTCGAGCGTAAAGGTATATATGTGGGTCTCGTTCGGACTGTAAATATGGCGACGAGATCTAAGGCAGTTTGTGTTTGTTTGATCTAGGCTGATGAATGCCCTCTGTTGGCGGTTATCTCATTACATTGCTGCGGCGGCTCTACAAGGTGGGTTTGGGGTGATGTTCATTCGGTTTTTAAAAAGCTTGGTTCTTTTTTATAATGTGCCTTTTTAAAGCAGCTTCTAGTTGGCCGAGAGGCTCGCTTTAATCAGCGATCCAAAAGTGTATTCAAATCCTGCGCGATGACGTCGTTTCTGCAAACAACACGTCATCGGCGCCGGTTTAGGTAACTCGCTTTAAATTTGTTATTTCTCTTGGTTATCGTTATCATTCATGATTTTGTCACTCTGCATGTGAGGCCTCTAAATATAACCTGAATCCGTTTCATCCTAATATTAATCATATTTTTAGAAGTTTACAAGTCATCTCCACTCGGATATATAAACATTCACACACACTCATATATATATATGTATATATATATATATATATATATATATATATATATATATATATATATATATATATATATATATATATATAGGGGATGAGTGTATACACAGATAAATTAATTGATATATTACGAAGAGAAAAAGAAGAGTACGAACTTCATCCCGTCCCCATCCCCTTTTACGAAATAAAATCTTATTTTTCACCCCCCCTGCCTCCGAACCCGCCTAACCTCCTTCCACACCCACCTACCCCACCTCACATCCACCCCCCCCCCCCACCACCCTCGAGGACCAGCGCCACCTCACGCTTCTCCTCCGCCGCCCAGTCTCTCAGCAGCCTCGTCCGTCAAGGCCTAATGAGCGAGGCAGCCGACGACGACCCGAGGAGCGGCGAACTCTTGTGCTGAGGGAGAGCACGCAGCCTCCTCGACGCGGAGGGGAGACTCGACGCGGAGGGGAGACTGGCGTAAATCATGCTGTAGGGGAAAGAAAACGGGAAGAATTTTATAATGTTGGTTTCATGTTTAGAGGAAGAAGGGGGAAGGGTATGTTGGGTAGGGGGGTGGGAGGGGGGGGTAGTTGATGACAGTAGTGATGACGTCAGAGATGATGATGATAATGGTGGTTAGTCATGTTAATGATTGCAGAATAAAGATAATGATAATGATGATGACAATGATTATGGTAATGATAATGATAATGTTTATGGTAATAATGACGATGATGATGATAATGAGAGAGATGACTGTGTTAATGAAAATAATGATGTTGATGACTGTGTTAATGAAAATGATGATGTTGATGACCATGGTAATAATGATGATGATAATGATGATGATGTTACTACAACTATGACTACTACTACTACTGCTACTAATGATAATAATAATAACAATGATAATAATAATAATAGTAATGATAATGATAATAATGATAATAATAATAATAATGAGGTTCTCGAAACCTGAGGCTAGTTGTTCTAGCTTGCTTTCGGGAAGAACTTACCAGGAACTTTTTCCTGTGATAACAAGGTAATAATAATAATAATAATAATAATAATAATAACGAAAATAATAATGATAATGATAAGGAAAATGGTAATAATAGTGTTGATGATAATATCAATGATAACAACAATAATAATAATATTAATGATAATAAAGATAATGATAATAACATTAATAATAATTTTCTCTCTCTCTCTCTCTCTCTCTCTCTCTCTCATTCTCTCTCTCTCTCTCTCTCTCTCTCTCTCTCTCTCTCTCTCTCTCTCTCTCTCTCTCTCTCTCTCTCTCTCTCTCTCTCTCCTTTTCTCTCCCTCGCCCTCTCCCGGACTTTAATTTCGCAAGCCTCGTTCCAAGTTTCGCACAGCTTACACGAATACGAAGAACGC